TATGATTCTGAGACATACAGGTCGTGGCATCTTCAGGAGTTGTACAAGTGTTCATAGACAAGTCCAGATGCGTATGTACACGTGTACTTCTTCTGAAGTACCGGGATTGGCACCAGCTCCAGGGCTTAGATGGATGGATGGATTATAGTTATCTCACTAAATGTTACAGTCACAAAGTGTGTGGGAATCTACTGAATTGCAGTGTAAGTTCCAAACAGCTGGATAACATTTAATTTAACACACTAATAATATGTAATAATAATCATAATAATAATCATAATAATAACTCTATTTATCTCTTAAACTAAATTCTCCACAGACATAAAAATAGAAATTCATAATATAATTATAGTTCTTGTGATAGGATATGTGGAAATAAAAGGCAGGAGGAAGTATATACCAGACTTTAGAATATTTTTATTTAAAAGGTAATTCTATATACTGCAAATTAGAGCTAGAAATCCTCAGTACACATGTCAGTCACCATTTATATATTTCAGCTCATCTATTGATGGCCCTTTATCGACTGTCAAACATCAGGGGAATTATATGTGCTAAGTGTAAAGACTTATTAATTATTAGTATCCCCCCTGGTTTCAGTGCTAACGTCTGATGTTCCAAATCCAGCTGATGGCTTTACATGCATGTCGTCTTTCCATTTTTTAAACATTTTACCTGTCAATCGCATTTGTTAACCATGTCACAGAGATGATCAGACATAAAAAAAACATTTAAAACACACGCTGACTTGCTCTAAGCATACATTTGAAGAGGCATGTGCCAACAAGGAGGAGCACAGACCTGTGAACATTAATGAGAGAAGAGTGGTGGTCTCAGAGGAGCCAGTCTTTTGGCCCCTCTGCCTCCCCATACAGGCCGAGGCGACTGGGCATGGCTTACAGGATCTGATTAGGTGTAAATTAAAACTTCATTAACCGTCAGGGCCGATTAACGGGATGGTGGAAGAGCGCCTTTGTTTAGGTTCATCATGTATTGCCATGTTGGCTCTTTGATAATGTTTGCATATATAATATATAATTGATATTCCTGTATGTCTTCTGCATTCAGCTTTGATGGTCACATCTCACTGTGATGATTTCCATTTTGAATATTTGTGCCATAATCACAGAGATGAGGTAAAGGAGGTCAAAGATCAAACCAAACACAGTATTGCTCTTTATCTTTAATATATTGTAGGCCTAATGCATCAGCCCAAATGATGACTTATAATTACAATAATGCAATAATTATGACTGCATTCATTTTAAATACACTATCTAAAATATTAGTTATTACTATAAATATATAAATTATTGTTATATCTATCAAATAATTATTTATATATATTTGTGAGGGGCAAGGCCACTTGCAGGCTAAACTCCAGCAAGTTAAAATTGATGGTATTTTGTAATCTCTACAGATTTATTGTATGATGCAACACTGAAAAAACTATTTTGTCTGAACATTGTTTCATTGGGCTCAGACACAGATGACAGTGCTTATTGTTGACAAGATAGTCATGCCACTACGATTAATTTTGGTGTCACTAAAATATTTATAGAAATCCTGTAAGATCGATTACACTTTGTTTGGACTTAAAAGGAATGTAATTTTGTAAAAAGTAAAATTTCCAGGGAGAAGATAACAATACGAAAAAAAATCTTTTAGAAAGCACACTTTTTTATTTACTTTATTTTCTTAAGGATACAAGCCTGGTTTACAATGCCACTTGCAATGCAAACAGCAGCAAATGCTTTTATGTGTTGACACAGTAATTGTCTCAGGCCCTTCATCAAATAAGATTCATATCTGGTTCCAGCAAAACAATTTCTCAGAAAGATAATTGACAGCTGAGAGATAATTTAGACTTTATTCTTTTTTTTCCTGATAACTAATCCCCATGATTGCAAGGGCTGTTACCGGCCTGGGGAGCAGCATGGATGATATCTGTGTCCTTCATTTCTTCACACACAAACCATCCAGCCTGAGAAAGGCTCATGTCCCATGTGCCAACCAACCCCCTTTCACCCTTCTCTGTTAATTACCATGTTAGCTTTGCAATGCAGGCAGCAGGATGCTGTTCATGCTTTTACTGCTTGACACACATGAGCACACACACACATGCAACCTAGGGAATTAGGTCTGTGTGTGTGTGTGTGTGTGTGTGTGTGTGTGTTTGTGTGTGTGTGTGCTAGAGACTAACCTTTACCCATCCCATTGTCCTCATCTGCTTCATAAACATGGATACATATACACAAAGGCTTATGAAACATACACTATATGGACAAAAGTATTTGGACACACACTTAATCATTGAATTCAGGTGTTTCATTCAGTCCCATTGAAGTTGGTCGGACCAGGCCCCTGAGTTCCAGTGAAGGTAAATCTTAATGCTTCTGCTCACCAAGACATTTTGGACAATTCTATGCTGTTCTCAGAGTTTGGTTCAGGTCCTTTTCTGTTGCAGAATGACTCTGCCTCAGTGCACAAAGCAAGGTCCACACAGGCATGGTTGGGTGAGTTTGGTGTGGAAGAACTTGACTGACCCACAAAGAGCCCTGACCTCAACCCCATCGAACACCTCTGGGATGAACTAGAACAGAGATTGTGAGCCAGGCCCTCTCGTCCAACATCAGTGTCTGACCTCACAAATGCTCTTCTGGATGAATGGGCAACGATTCCCACAGACACACATCTGCACAGTCTTCCCAGAAGAGAGGAAGCTGTTATAGCTGCATAGAATGGGATGTAATAAAAGCTCCTGTAGGTGTAATGTGTAGGTATCCCAATACCTTTGTTCATATAGTGGACTGAGTTTAAAATCCTGTTAATAATATCACCTTCATTATGAGTTAACCTTAATTACCATTGCCTTAATTCAACCCATGACACCTGCAGGCCTCCACCCACTGCAAACATACATTTGATTGTTGATGGCTCAGTGGCTTAGAACATAAATTAATTTCTCATGCTCAGTTTCAAACAATAATAGTTTAGGTGTGTGCCAACTGGGTCTGGAAATCCTGCAGGTCAGGTTTGAAACACACAAAGAAAGCACGCACACACACACGCACGCACACACACACACACACACACAAACACAGTGCAAAATGCATTATGTAGCACTGTTCTACGGCCTTTCTCAGTTCTCATCTTTCTTATATCAAACTTGTTTATGCCATTTTAGAGACCAAATCATTTATACTTAACTCAACTGAGATGTTCTTCTGTTATAGAAGATCTTGGTTCCAATGATGTGAGGTTCGAGAAGCTCCTTCCGGGGACCTTTTTTTTTCTAATGGCAAATGCACCATATCCACAGGAAGTGCTCCCACCATTAATATCTGTCTGTCCACCATTGACATGTTGGTGAGGTTGAGGAACACACATATTTGTCACCTCTCCCATGTTCTGAGACCTCTACCTCATCAAAAATAAGGTTTCCATTTTGTTAGGTGTGTCACTATAGGCTCATCTGGAACCTGATTATCTAAGTGTTCTCATGTGCGTCTCTTAAGTAAGTTGACATCTAGCTACAGGTATTGCTGAGGATGCCAAACCACAGGCTATGACTGGTCAAATCGAGAAGTGGAACATTTATTTTATTTTATCTTGGCACCATTTTAGAATTGTCCTCTGTTGAACTCAGTTCTTTGTGGATGAGAGATGACAAACGTTTCTCTGTTGACTCCTCCACTACAAACAAGTCCATGAAATGTTCTGGAATTTGTGGTATGTCTTCTTCTAACACAATCCAGCTCAATAAATCACCAGGTTATTGCTTTTGCCAACTCCAGAAATGGCAACAGTTGAATAGGCTCTGCAGTTATTCATTCGTTATGTTAGTTGTGGGCTTTTTAATTGGTAAATAATAATGGTAAAAAAGAGTTATACCTACATGTTTGTAATTTTCTGTCTTCCCTGTCTTTCTTCCACCTGGAGTTCCCCTGGATAGACGGTGCCCATACTGCCTAAGCTTCAGATCGGGTCTGCAGGACAGAACATCCCAGCATCCCATGCACAAGCACAATATGGCCATTGTTTTACGTTTGTGATGTAATTCAGCAAAACTGTTTTGGCTCGGTCCCTCAGTGCAGATCAACATTGGTACGGAATGTTCCATTACTATTCTATGAAACTACTTCATCTGGCACAGTCGTGCTGTAGGTGACTAAGTCATGACTGTACAGATGTTACCCTCAATGACTAAGACACAAAAGAAAATCAAAATAGGGGGAGAAAACGAGTTTCTACTCTTTTTTCTCTACCAGATGCCTCAGGCCCTCTCAATTAATGGAGGGATTTAGCAAGTGCAAGCACACGCACACATGAAGACATCAAAACGTCTGCTTAGGGGTTCTGCTCAATGACAGATAGGTTACAGCCTGGTAAAAGTTAATGATGAAGACAAATTGGAGCAGCACCTGGATTGCAATTTATCAAAGCCCTTCAGCTGAGATGGTGTTTTTTGCCTGCGAGACACTTCAATGTATTTCATTGAGAAGAATGTTAAACACACAACAGAGGACTGGCAAGAGAAGAAAGAGACAGACACACATAGAACGAGGAAGAGGGACTGTATTGTAAAGTGGTGAGTAACTTCATTAGAATGTATTGTGTCAAACAGGATAACTAGAGGTAATAGTAATGTAAAGTAAAGTGTACTACTGGTTACTACCCACCTCTATTCATTGAAACTTTATTCTAGGTAACATATGACAAAGAAAACGCAGACGTTAGCCAATCGGCTGTTTGTATTGGTCAATAGATCACGAGTATTATTTATGAGCTCATCTGTGAACATGAGTCAATCAGGCAGATTTTCATCTGCAATGTTGGTGAAGGTCGTGAGGTCACTGAATTACCTCATTTCTTTGGATTATTCTTTGGATTGAGAGACACTGTGTAGTATCAGTGTGTAGTATCAGTGTGTAGTATCAGTGTGTAGTATCAGTGTGTAGTGTAGTATCAGTGTGTAGTATCAGTGTGTATCTTACTACAGGTGGTGGAGTACAGAGATCGATGTCAGCGTCTGGATCTTCAGCTGCAGAATCAACACACACAACTCATCAACACTGAGGTCACACTCACATTCTAACACAATACGACAGTATATACAAGATTAGATCATTACATAATACAGTTTCATGATATTACAGTACTACACAGTAGTACATACAGTATTCCAGATGTTGTTGTGACTCTTCCTGTTGTGTGTTTGTTGTGTAGCAGAGGATCAGAGATGAACACAGTGACTCTCTTGAGAGCACCCTCATCAGGCTGGAAGAGGAACAGCAGAGGTGTGTGTGTGTGTGTGTGTGTGTGTGTGTGTGTGTGTGTGTGTGTGTCGTCCATCTTTATCTACAGTTTATGGTCTCACCTGTGTTTATGTGTGTGTGTCCAGGTCAGTCGGTCTGGCTGAGACCAACGCTCTCTTGCGGGAGCAACTCGGCCAATCAGAGCACGCCAACCAGGCCCTGAGGCAGGACCTCCAGAAGCTGACAGCTGATTGGTCAAGAGCTGTGGAAGAGGCGGAGCAGAGAGAGTCTGATTGGCTGAGAGAGAAGAAGGTCTGTATATCCTCTGGGAGTTTTATTATTAGTTCTGGAAAGTTAAAGGGATGGTTCCCTCATTATCTCCTCCGCCCTAAGATGGAGGGGGCTGAAGTGTTTGAGTCCACAGAACAATGTGTCAGGTGTGAACCTCCCGAACTGGAGACAAAAGCTTCAGATGTATAAAACAACAGAAAACCGTCCACACCGCTCCTGAGTGTGACACATTACAACTTTGTGTAAATTACTTGTTTCATATCCAAGTTGAGTGTCGGGGCTTGCAGACATTTGATGACATCACAGGAGCAGAATGGAGGCGTGTTATTTCTGGCGTTTTATTACGTCTGAAGCTTTTGTCTCCAGTTACTTCAGTTGTGTTGGATCCTGCTCCAACTCTGTTTACACCTGAAACTCCAGAAGTGGAGTTCACCCCCCCCATCATGGTGGTGAGGAGATAATGAGTCCATTTTTCTGTGAACTGTCCCTTTAAGTATACTGTCCTGACAAGTGTGTTCACCCTCACAACTGTGTGTGTGTGTGTGTGTGTGTGTGTGTGTGTGTGTGTGTGTTTAGTGTGTGTCAGGTGGTGTGGGTCATCATCAGGCTCAGTTGTTGTCTGTGTGGAGATCTGTGGTTTCTCTGAGACGAGTCTGTCACTCTGTCAAAACTGCAGCCGACAGGTGAGTGTTGAACTGTGACGTATTGATTGACATGTGACGTATTGATGACATGTGANCTTAATCTTCTTCAGTCAGAGATGAAAAACAGCAGATGAGAGAAAAATGGAGAAGAGCAAGTGGAGACGTGAAAGAGCAGTGACGTCTTCTTCCCCCTCCCCTTTTAAAGTTATTAATACGATTCTTGACCACAATTCATTTTGACAAATCGCTGCGCAGGGCATCAGGGTAGTTTGACTGTGTCGAACATTGCCTCACACCCACAGTTTGATAACCTCTCCACCTGCACCTGCTCCACCACCAACACCCCTCCTGCAGGATATTTGATGGAAAGATAAGCTCAGATGGCGAAGATACTTCTTTCCTTTTTTTTTTTTTCCTCACTTTAAATTTCTCTCAAGCGGGGAAAACTCTCAAGGCGATAACATAAACATGAAAAGAATGTAGGAGGAGCAGTTCACACATCTTGAACCGACTGTCAATCACAATCTTTGTGAGTGGGGCGAGCTCGAGTGTGGCTCTTTGAAATTAAAAATGGCCAATTAGTGAGCTGTCAGGTGTCGTTTTCTTTTAACATTCTTCTTAAATGATTATTCAGACGCCATGTGATCTTCCGCAGATCCGTCTCTCGAGCACTTGAGTGATGTTCAGGATTTTGATGAGGGTCAGGTTACACCTCTCTGAAATCGCAAATTCACTAATGACGGAGGAGAGAAATGAGTCTGACGCTGATGTGAGCCGTGTTGAAATTTACTCTGGTTGCTGTGATGATCAGAAAACTCACATCACACGCTGAAAATGACTGTGATTGGTTTCCAAACCCATTTGAAGACGTCACCGAAAAACCAAGGCCTTAAGAAAACACATTATAAAACATGTTTCAGCTGTGTCAATAATACATGAGAACAATTGCTGCACTATAACATTATGTCTAAAGTTTACCTGTTTTTAGAGGCTGGTATTTTTTAATAAAAAAGGTTGCGCATTTCAATTAAACGGTTATTAAAAGTTTTTCTTTTTAGTAAAGCTTTTCATCTCATGCCAAAATCAAAAGAGGGTGTCTATTAGAGTTCAAGCCAAATAACATTGATAGAACATAAATTAATGAACACATAAACAATAAAACAAGGACACAACTCAGAACTGGATGTACCAGTTTTTGAAAGTGACAGGAACACTGTTGTGCTTTTACTGTATGTTAAACTGCGTCCTCAGAACTGGAAACGATTTACCTCATATTTGTAGGCTCTTACAAAGTGTTCCAATGAGTATTTGTCCCCTCACATACCTGCCTAAAGGTATTTGACACATACTTTTACATGTACTAGAAAACACACACTGACTAAGATTTGCATATGTTGACACAGATCCAAGCTGCAGGAGCAGTTGAAATAACACTGCTAATGACAAACTCAACTAAATCTACCCTGACTTTACCTCAGGCTGGCTGTGACTCTCTCATTGTGATGGTAATGAAGAAGCTCTCAGGCCTTTCAGTATTTCTGCAGCAATGATCGGTTGTGCACCAAAACTCACTGAGGTCCTCATCCAATAAAATGAATGATGTTATTTCATAATTAAAATATAATGAACATGAGCATTAACACCATCCTCGCAGTCTATCTGGAAAGTGCACTGGAGTCAGAAGTTTCAGTTACATTTGATAAAGCTTTAGATTAGTTTATTCCCTTGTAGTAATATAATAGACAATGGCATCTTGCAGTGAACTTATATTCAAAACCCTTTTTATAGCTGTGGGTATGTGGATCCAACCTCTCATGAGCTTCATCTAGTGACCACCAGGGGCAGATAGCGGAACTGTAACACTGAACTTACTCTTAAAGCAAAACAATACTCATTCACTTTGAATAGAGTGAGGTCACGTGTTGCTGAACTGTATTGAGGTTCAGTTGCGTTGGCTCGTATGTTGAAACAAGCACTCAAGAGCAGGCGCTAGCCAATCAAATCACGTCACTGCGTAAGAGGCGGCGGAGGCAGGTGGATCCCCTGGTGTGTGTTCATCTGGTTGGGGATTTTATTTCTCATGTACTTCTCTTCAGCCTTGGACTAACAGCTAGCATGGCACAAAAGGCAGCTATGTTTTGTGTCCTTAGTATTATACAATTGGCCCAGCACCAAGCATTGGGAGTCCATGCATTTGTTTTATACTACTTATCTTTTTCTTTTACATAAACTACTACTTTGATAAAATAAAGGTTAGATTTGAATAATGAGTGGCTGCTGGGCTTGTCTTAATATGGCAAATTAACACAGTGAGTTAAATCTTTATGTACAGTACTTTCAAAGTTACACATGTGCACAAACACACACTATCCCACACATATTCACACAGAGGACATTTTCTCTAGTATATTGGCTGTACACAGAGTACATCACCAGAGGCAAGGTTACCTTTGTTGTTTGGCTCTCCTTGCCAGATGCCTTTTGTAGGTGCCTCTCCCTCAAGCACTTTGCGGGTGCAGGAATACACACAAGCACAGGGACACACATTCAGAATGCACATGTGCACAAACACACATGCACATACAAACACACTCAGACACACTCATGTACCACCTCCACCGTGTGACTCCTCACACACACATGCACGCATTCATACACACAGACGGCCACACGGTCTACCCCCACCACCCCTGGGTGATGAACAACATCTGCTTATCCATCCCTCCGCCGCTGCCCCTGGCATGGCTGCTGGCTTCCTCCTGGCTGAACTGCCACAATGTCATCTTGTCTGCCTCTCTGTCACCCATTACTAAAATGTGTAGTGACAATCAGGCTTTTTTACACAGGCCCCTTTCCTCACGTCAGCCTGGGACCAGGAGTTCCAGGCTGCACAGAGGCCTGATGAAACAATGTGGTGTCATCTTCCAGGGCTGCTGGAAGCATTCCCATGGTTCAGACTTTACATGATGGGTCCTACTTTTTTTATCCTGAAAATGTAATTGATTACCCGGTATTGGCCGCTCTGGGTCCCACTAGACTGTGGGACATCTGTCCTTGTTCTCCAACCATCTTGCCGGAGCCCTTATATAAAGTATCTTCATATTCCCAGCACTTCGTTTTGGCAGTTATCTCTTCTCAACCTACTTTAAGAACAGTGTTATGTTTTGTTATTTATGCAGCCTCTTTAACAATACTACTTGTGTCCAAAAATGTAAATATCATATATATGATATTGTAATAGCAGGACCATGTCATCAATGGTGATGTCATGAGTTTAAGCAATATTTGTTTTAAACTTTAAGAGGAAAACCACCAGAAAGAAACTTTTTACCATGTAGTGTGTTTTGAAAACACTTTTTTATTTCTTATTTACATCAGTTTCTATCCTCTGTTGCATGTTTGATGTGAGTTATTGAATACACCTTGAATGCTAATGTTGACAAACCCAGTCTATTGCATTTTATTCAAATCTCTTCCAACCCTATTAATTTAATAAAAACTACATGCGTAAATGTAATGTTTCCTAATCGCAATCCTTTCTGTCTGCTTTACTGTAGCTGTAAGGTCACTGAGGATGTGGCTGTAGAAGCACTACCGTTTGTGTGTGTGTGTGTTAGTGTGTTCTCTTACTCTTAATCTGTACCTGTCTTGGCGAGTGGGTCTGTGTTACTTACAGTTCTGCAGGCCTGCAGTCTCTTGACACAGACAGATGACATATTTATTAGCTTGTCAGATCCTCCTCTGCCCTCCCCCTTGTTCACACCACACACACACGCACACTCACAGACACACTGACAGCTGACGTACAGACATGTTCTCACATCCACATCTGTGCACACATATACTGACTGTTATTTTACCATTTACCTTTGTGTAAATCTTTACGATCTACACTCTTGAATCAGTCTTGCTTTCTACCCTTTCCCGAGCTGCCAGTTTTCTCTCTCTCTCTATATACCTAAGCTAAACAAAACAATTGGCTCCACTGTTGGCTAATTGGGACGGGCTCCCGTGGTGAGGTGCGGGCAAAGCGCTTGATGAGGCATAAAATGATGATTAATTAATTTACTGCTCAGTTGGTCGTCAAACTGAGAGCTTTATGAGACTCCCAGCAGTACGCCAGCCCAGCGCAGCTCATACACACATTTTACACACACACACACACACATTCTTGAACACACAAATATACAAATACGTGAGCATTCAGAGCCTTTTGGTGCATCGGGCTACACACACACACACACACACACACCCTGTTCCCTGTGGTCTGTGGCATGCATGGGGTGAGCAGCATGCCTTTGCAATGACCTGTGCTGAAAACTCAGTGAAGCAAGGAAATATAAAGGTGCATGTTGGCAACTGTTTGATCACCTGTCACTGAAAAATACTTTCACGTTTGGTTGTTTTTTCATTGAATGATGTTATCTTAGTAATTAAGCCAGTATGAATCACTTAAACCCATAATTCCATATCAACTAATTAGCCACGGCTGCTTATTGAAATTATGAAATTTAAAATGCTGGCATACAGGGACTGTCTGCTCTTTGTGCAATAATAATAGTTGTAATTCCTGGTGATATTGTTGGATGTGTCAAGAACAAAATGTTTTTGCAGATGCAAAATTGATTGATGTGCAAACTGTTTGGAACTGACTTTGGATTGTGTGTGAAACATGTTGAGGGAATGTCAACTTTAGTATAAACATTCACTTAGACTCAAAGATGAACTGATTACATTTAGGTGGTTAAAGTTGAAAAGGTCAAGGTCACATGACCTTGTTTTGTTTTGAACTCAATATATCAGAAATGCTCAAAGGGAAGTGCATTACATCAGACACAAACATTCACTCAGACTCAAGGATGAGCTGAATAGAATTTGGTGTTCTAAGGTCAAAGGTCAAGGTCACTGTAACCTCTCATAGTACATTTTTTGCCTTCTGAATGCAATATCTCCAAAACGCCTTGAGAGAAGTGGCGGTTAGGACAACAACATGGTGTGAATGACGACATTTAGAGTCGAATATGAATGTTGGGG